GATGCTTATTTGGCATGCCACATAGGTACGATTATCATAGACGGGTTCAGAATTTAAAGATAACAACGACAATCATCAAAGGCAAATACACATTAGTTAAAACGATATCACATAACACTGTCTAGTCTAAAACATATAAAGTAAATACCCTTCGCTCACACTCAAGGCCTAGTGGCCATGCTTGCCTTATATTGAACTATATAATTCAACTTGATTTTCGTTAATAATAGTGTCACATTAAAAATATTAATGAAGAATAATATTATTTTTTAAAAAAACAATTGAAAGTTTTAAATGACAGAATATGAAAGAAAATATTATTCTTTCACTATTTTTTTCAAAGCTTATTTAACATACACGTTAATGAGATAAAGCTTTAGAACTCTTACCATTTATTTATGATTCATTAATTTTTTAATTTTTTTTCTTACCATATATTTTCTGTTATGATATTTAATTTAGTGACCAAACCAAAGTTATTCACAAATCAATGCTCAATTTATGCAAAATTGAACTCCAAAGAGCTCAAATTTCTGCTTTTGAAGCCTCTAATCGAAACAAAAAGCAGAAAATCAGCTTAATTTCCGTCAAATTCATTCGAACTTGACAATCCCTATCATATCAGCCGAACTCGTTACTGAAATCCTCTCGATGCATCAAGTAAAATCCCTCTTGTATGGGGTCATTTGATTGTTCGGGTTATGAAGGAGTATGAGATTAAAAATCTTGGATAATGAAGTTTACTATCAGGTATCCAAATGTTCGAAATTTGTGTCCACCTTTTTCATGTCAAATAAAGGTGAATTTTTGTCACACCCCAAAACCGGATGTGATGGCACGTGCCCAAACCCCCCCGGACACGTCAGCCTACCACCCAAAAACCCGACGATACAGAATTTATAAACAAGAATAAGATATAAAGATAAGCGGAAGTCTTTAAATAAACTCAACATAACCCCAGAATTGGTTGTCACATGTACAAACCTCTAATACAGAATCTGAATAAAATATACAAGTCTCATAGTAAAGTTCTAGAATAGAACAGAACAGTAAATATAGATAACTTGAGGGCACGTCTGGAATGAACCGAAAAAAAGTACTACAAATCACTATAGCTAACAATTTAAAATATTTTTAAAATCATATAAAAATTTCAATAACTTCTCAAATTCCATAATATGATAATATATATTGGGCCCCGTGCTGGCACGGGGTCCTATATCTAGTATTATAATAATTCAAGAAGTAAATGATTAGCTAGTGAAAGATAAACAAGTGTAAAATAATCAATGATGTTGATCAAAATTAATGTAGGTCAACATAAGAAATTTTAATACCTTTTCCTTTTTATTTTGATATGGATTCATTAAATCAACTATATCTCCTTTAAAAGCAATTATGTATTACTAGGTGATAACCACAACAAAGTATCAACCAAATTAAAAATTCATGTTATGCACTTTTAGTCTTCTAACGATTTCGGTGAGTTCAATTCTTTCAACAAGGTTATCAGTTAAGTATGTACTAATTATCCTTCCAATAATTAGCTCAAAAATCCATGATAACATTAACGATAATTACATCTGACATATCAAATTTAGATTGTCAAGTATAAGAAGACTTATATAGCAAAATATAACATACTCTATACTATTTATGTTTCGGCTAATGCACTGTCGGAGATGCTCATAGATGAAGAGACTCGTGCTGATAACGTGTTATAAAATGAATTATAAAAACTAAGATAATAAGGAAGATGAGAAATAGTATGTGCAGTATTTTCTTTCACTTACTCTTGTATCTTTCTTTGTTACAAGAATAGGGGTATATATAGTTGTATTACTTGTGCCCAAAGTGTAATACATGGATATCATCTTGCCATGTATACACTTTGGGAACCAAGTATATCAAATGGCTAATTAGTATACACCACATAGCATTTTGTGTGTATTAATCTTACACCACTAAACATATTAGTGTGGACATCCAATTTACAACAACTAGTTTGTTTTGGACCAATTGTTATTTCTTTACAAAGTAGGAGAAATTATTGAATTTGTGGCATGAACTACTATATTAATATTACAATGAGAAAAAGTTTTATACATTATCAGTGCACCATTATTCTACACTATCTAGTAATAATTAGAGAAGAATTTAAAATTTAAAGATGATGAGTGCACCATAAATGTAGATTTGAAAATGATGGGCACCACAAATGTTTTTAAGGTTCTCATATGAAAACATTATCGAATATACTAAAATATATATAAATCAAATTTAATATGATTTGACCAATTAATTTATATATTAAAAAATTAATATAAAATAATATAAATTATTTGAGGTCTTGAGGGCTAATTTACCCCCTTCGTCCCAGTAAGCCCACAGTTGAATTTGGTAATGTTACGTGGGGCAGTTCAAAATGGAAGAAATCGATAATTTCAATTCAAAATAAAATAAAATATTGATAATGGATTATTTGTTGGGAAAATTGTATGAAATAACAAACTATTAATTCAAATTAAATATATAGACATAGTTTCTTTTATGGAAAAACTACCGATATAGACATACTTTCATACCATAAATACATATATTCTCACTAGTTTAAAAATATTACTTATAATACCATTTTTTAATTAATAAACCGTATCTTTCAAATATAATCAGATACACAATCCCATTAAAAGTGGTAATTAATAATTATCCTAACATTATACTTCCTTAATTATTGAGACTTTTTACAATTCAAATCAATTTCTCTCTTTTCAATTCCATTGTTTCCCTCCCCAGTAACACGTCTCCTTTGTATCTTTACCCACACCTACACGTTATTATCCTTCATCTTCCATTACCCCTTCTTCTCAACCTACTCAATGCATATTTGGATGTAAAAATTTCATACCCAACTTTACATAAGCAGCATTATATATAGAGGTAAAGTAGTTTTATTTTCCGGTTGATGTATTTTTGTTTGACACCATTTTCATGTATCTAATTCACAAATGTAGTAGTTTCAAAGTTCAAATTTAGGATTTTTTCATTAGTTGAATTTGTTAGTTCTTCATACTATTTTAATGGCTGATTATTATTGACTTTCATTTTTATTTGTATGTTTTCGTTAACAATGTTGCAATGGTTGCAGGTTCTGACTATTCATCTTCCAACATTCGAGCGGAGAGTAGAACTAAGTTTAGGAACGATCCAATTAAAATGGCTGACTATTCATCATGTATCTCGCGAGTAATGATACATGTATCTCAATTACTCGTTGATTAAGGAAATAAGTAACAACTAATTAATTTAAACAAATAAAATATGTATCTCACTTTTAAAATTCGGGCAGGCGCCTGTATCTCCCAGATTCAGACTCACGTACCCTAAGCACGAAATATGGTAGATACTTGTATCTCAATTATTAATCTAATTTAGGAATTCAATTACAACTAATTAATTTAAACAAATAAAATATGTATCTCTGTTTTAAAATTCGGCGCATACATGTATCTCGCGGATTCATACTCACGTATCCTAAGCACGAGATATGGTAGATACTTGTATCTCAATTACTCCTCTAATTTAGGAAATCAGTTAGAACTAATTAATTTAAACAAATAAAATATATATCTCGATTTTAAAATTCGGTAGATACATGTATCTCGCGGATTCATACTCATGTATCCTAATAAGCATGAAATATGGTAGAGGAAGTAATATTTGAAACTATCGGGAATCTTAGTAATTAGAACCTAAACTAGTGGGATTTATGTAGTTTGCCCTTCTTTTATTTGTAATTCGTAGCAAATATTCCATGTTTTTTGCCATCCCATTTGTATACCAAAATATACAAATAGACCCATTATGTGTCGTATAAAAATTAATTGCAGGACCCATTTGTATACCGAATATACAAATAGACCCATTCGGTATACATATGTGTTGTATAAAAATTAATTGCAGGACACATTTGTATATCGAAATATACAAATAGACTCATTCGGTATACATATATGTTGTATATATGTAGTAATTTTGTTTATATACAATTACTATGTTTTAGTTTGTATACCGAAATATACAAATACATATTTTTATGTATATGTATACCGAAATATACAGATTAATAGTCATAGCAAACATAAAGTTTGTTATTGAGCTCAATTATACAAACTATAGTTATAGCATACAAATATGGTTTTTATGTTTGCTAAACCTAAAATTTACTCTTATTTTTTTAGCAATTTCGGTAATGATTTTAATTTTTTTTACAATTCTTAACAGTTTAAGATTTTTCTTAATAGGTTAACCAATAACCTAATAGTAAATTAAATAATTATATTTATACCATTTGGTATATATAAAGTCTTTGACTTAGAGTTTAGTTTCATACTTTTATTTCTAGTTGTCTCAAACTCTCGATTATTCTACAATGTGATAGTGTTCTGCCCACTCGTGTGCATGGTTTATTTGGTTTGTCACCTTGTTTCTAAGTGAATTTCAATGATTATTTTTTTGGTCAAATCTTAATGGTTAAATCGACAACCGAACCGATAACGATCGATAATCGATAAGTCAATATCTTGATGGCAGATCAATAACTAATAAGTCAAATCGATGATACGCATTGATATCCTTTCCTCATGTACTAGAAAAAACGTTTCACTTCTGGTTTACGTAGTACTAGTAGGCTTGGATTCTTTTAAGTGAGTAACATATTATCTCTATTTGAGGCCTTGAGGAATTAATTCATTAATGATGTTGATTAAAAATAAATAACATCATGATTAGAAAATAATTGGTTACCCAAGAGAACTAGGAATTAATTTTGTTACAGTAAAAATAGGACTCGATTACCTAATTGTGTACGCTCAAAATATTTAGTAGCCTAATATTTAAGCAGAAAAATTTCAAATAATTAGCTTCAAGTTAAAGCTATTTCCCCAATATATAAACCTTTACTTTAACAATTCAATTTTCTTCATTGATCAACGCAAAAATCGTAAGCCCTCTCTTGAATATGGATCTATCAAACCAACAAATTGTTGATTGTCCAAGCTTCAAGCTCGTAATCTTAGGCGATGGCGGTACTGGTAAAACAACTTTTCTCAAAAGGCATCTGAATGGTGAATTCGATAGAAAATACGAACCTACTATTAGTGTGGAGGTTCATCCATTAGACTTCTTCACGAATTACGGAAAAATTCGATTTAATTGTTGGGATACAGTTGGACAAGAGAATTTTGGAGGTGTTCGTGATAATTACTACATTCATGGCCAATGTGCAATTATCATGTTTGATTTTACAGTCCGCCTGAGCTACATGAATGTACCTACATGGCATCGCGATCTTTTTAGGTTTTGTGAAAATGTCCCTTTTGTTCTTTGCGGAAACAAAATTGATATCAAACACAAACAGGTTAAGGCGAAGGAGATTAACTTCTACCGGAGGAAGAAAAATTGGCCGTATTATGAGATCTCGGCGAAGAGTAATTATAATTTAGAGTTGCCTTTTTTATTCTTAGCTAGAAAGCTTGTTGGGGACGATAATCTTCATTTTGTGGAGTCGCCTGCACTTGCTCCGCCGGAAGTGATTTTTGATTTAGATACGGAGAAATGGCGGGAAATAGAGTTTTTGAATTGCATTGGTAAACTGCCACTTCCGGATGAGGATGATGATTTAGCCGATGATCTACGCGGCTTTGATGAATAGAACGGATCGATAGAGGTGGAGTTAGGATTTTTTATTTTTATATTGCATAGTTTTAAATATTTCTAGGTTTTGGTTTTGGGGATTTTTTTTATGCTTTCTAGTATTATTGTAAGGTTGTGCATGGTTTATAAAGTTAGATGAAGTATGTTCAATCTGTTGTTGAATATATATTTCGGAGTTTCAGTAGCTAAATATATATTTTATACTTTCTCCGTCCTTTTTTTGGTCATGCTGCGCTTTTTGAAAGCTAATTTGACTAATTTTTAAAGCTATGATATTTTAAAATAAAATTTTAGATATTCAAAACTATACAGAAAGTACTATAAATTGCAACATTTTTCATATCAATGTGATGATAAAATCCAACTTAAAATGTTAGTCAAAATTCATATCGTTCTCCAAAAGAAATTATGACAGCTAAAAAGTGATGGCAAGAGTATTAAATAGGGAAATTTTCGCATATAGCCACTCAACTAATTACGATTCATAGCTACATGTTATAGGGAAGAGAAATGCGAGCAAGAGAGGGTAGAGAGTGCAGAGAGGTGAATTATATATGTATATCAGTTAGATAATTGAAGATCAATTATTGTATTTGTATATCCGCATACAAATTTTTTTCGTATACAAATGAATCGAGCTAAATTATTTGTATATCCAATTTCTCTCTCGCTTTATACAAACAAAAATTATACATTGTATTACTCTCTCGCGCTTTATACAAACATAAATTATATACATTGTATTTGTATAATTTGTGTTTGTAGAGAGAGAGAGAAGAGAACTGGGTAGGAGAATATTTGTATTTGTATAATTATAAGTGTATAGGGCGGAAATATATGTATTTGTATATCTCGTCTCTCTCATTTTATACAAACACAAATACAATTTATACATTTGTGTTTGTATAAAGTGAGAGAGAGAGATTGACAGAAGAGAAGCAAGAGAGACTGGGCAATGAGAGGAGAGATGACTGAAAAAGAAGAGAGTGGCGAGCGAGATTCCAGAGAGAGGGGAGAGAGGCGAGAGAGAGAATGTAATTATCATCAAAAGTAAGTTTTGAATTGCAATTAATGCAAACTGTAGCTATATTAGCTAATTAACTAATATATGTTTGTTTGATCGCGTAATTTTCCTTATTAAATATCAATATGGATGGGCGATTTTAATTAGACAATATAGTCTGAAAGCCCAAGTCCTATAAATCCATCATCCAAGAAGCCCGCAACAAATATGGATCATCTATGGACTATGATTAATGGCTCATAAACAAGTTCTCCCTAGTCTTTCTATTTGGCTTTTAATATTTTCATATCGAGATTAAAAGAAAAAATGTGTATATTATATATATGTATGTTGTGTGCATGTCAGTTCTATGTGTGGCCTTTTGGATTAATGATTATAAAGTGTATTGAAGTGTACTAGATGTGATAATATAATTCATACAGAGTACAAATATAATATTGTTTGCTTGCGTGCGAATACAATATATCTAACAAAATTATATGTGTTAGAACGAACATATACAATATATCCAAATTGTATGTATTAATACAACTTGAATAAGCAAACTGATAAAGTGGATTCAACAAAATTGAGCGAACAGAGACAACAAATTTAATGAAGCGACAAATACAACTCCAAAACAATAAGTAAGAATTATATTTAGACAAATTATAGCTTCTAATGGCAATTATGCTCCAAACTATAAATGTTTATGCAAACGAAGAAGGGTCATGTTTAAAGTTTTGTGCTGATTTTGTGCAGTTTTTAATATCAAGTGAAAGTGCAACCTTTTCCAATTCTTGGCTAGCTAAAAATGCAACTAAAATGTACCTACAAATATTACATTTTGAGGCTCAAATTTCAAAAAGAAAAATCACTTTTTTTACAATTTTGTGGTTACGAGAGAAATGGTATTAGAAATGAGTTTAATGGATTAGTTGGGTCGGGTATAATTTATATTAAAGAAAAATTTTAGTTAGGATAAAAATATATTCACGTAGGTGACACATAGAATAATAAGGGTGGGAACATAGGAATCAATAATCTGAGGATAAATATATTAAAAAAATATATAATGAGGGATAAATACAATTTCTTTTTGAAAGTATAAAGACAAATATGACCATTTTCCGCTATAAAATATCCTCTAAAGATAATTCCTTGAATTCTATTTTAATTTTATAAAAAAACGTATTTATACTCAAACACAACACCGAATGAGTGTCGTCATCAAGGAAGTTGTCGCCCGGAGTTTCCTCTTTCCCTTTAGAGTTAGTAAAGTTCATCTTAAATTGAGTTGTGATTTGATCTTATATGCGCTGACGTATATAAATGTAAAGTTAATACTATCAGATAACCTAACAGTGATTGATCATAATTATCCATTATTAGTTGAATTACTAATTTAGAAAAAATATATTTAAAACATGATATATAATATGTTAGAATAATTTAATAGTTTTAAAATGATTTCAATTATTGTTAAATAAGCTAATTCCATTCCAAAAATATATATTTCATACAAGTGAACTGCAAAACAAATAAAATATGAACAATTTTTAAAGTGATATAGAATGCACGGATAGACACACGAGAGTGTGGCTCAATAATTAATAAAATAAATAAATATCATGAGAGATTTAAATTTAAATTTCAAAAAAAAAATGTGAAGCCATTCCTTAATATGTATCTTATAATATAAACCTTAAGAGGCAAAGTTGTCTAATAAGTGATAATTATGCTAATGGAAAGTAGCTAGTAATAAGTACAATATTAATTAATTATTAGCTCGTGTGAACAGATTTACTTGCACAATTAACACCACAAATATTAAAATCAAGAATGTATTGTCTAAGCTCACTACCAAAATGTAGGCATTAGCATAGGCAATCTTTTTAATTGAACAATCAAATTCATCGCTAATTTTGTTTAACAACAGTCCATCAATAAATTATATTATAAGAAATTTAATAATTACGAATAGTTTAGTAACAGATTAACGATAAAACTTATATTTTTCTAAGTAAAGATGGTATATATGTATAACATTAATAAGAGTTCAATTAATATTCACTGATCATGATATAAAGAATCGTAATGTCTCGTGTCACCTTTTATCTGTAATAATAACATATAGTAATTTGTTTTATTTTTAGAATTATTCGTAGATATTTTAGGTGATCTCGTATATATATTTTTTACACTATGGTTGTATATAAAGTTAAAAGAGAATTAATAATTTATGAAGGTGGGAGGCTTTATTGCGATCCACACATTGTTGTCTCTGTCCAACATGCATGGTCATATTATTTTCATTCAAGTACACTGTTCCCCTTCTATGGAATCCTATGCTACCTACGCTTATACAAATATTCCATCATTTTGGAAACAAAACAAAAATTTATTTACACTCGATATTATTATTAAAATAAAATTGACAAGGTAAAAAACTTACTTACATATGATATCTACGACAATCTCATGTCTTATATTTATTAGATTGGCAAGTATAACAACAAATTGCGAGTAATTATTTTTCGTATGAAGGATGAATGTCACAATTGCTAATTGTATTTTCATATAACTATATTATATATCTAAGTAAGTGTTTAGACATGATTTGATTATATTTCGAAAAAATAAATTGAAGTTATTTGAAAAAATGGTAAAATTAGTAACATTTTTACCACAATAAATGGTAAAAATATTGGCAATAATTAGGAGTACTATTAATTAATTTGATAGAAAAAGACAATGGCGCCTATTAAGAGAAGTCATGAGAATCGTTTGTTCAGGAATTTCGTCAGTCATTAAAAATTTATTGCAAAAAAACAATTCATGACAGGTAAGTATCTATCACTTTACTAGCCAAGTATCCTGAATATTTATTTGTATCGACTATTTAAGTTCAATTAATTATTATAATTATAGTTCTCTTAAAGTTAAATTGACAATGTACATTGTTTAATTATGATTAAATAATATATTTTATATATCGTATTTATTGATTAGATATAAATATCAGATTGGATAAAAATATCTCGGCAATGAAACAACTAAATTTTGGCAGATGCTTTCTGCTGGAATCTACCACTTGTGCTGATATTATTATTTTTTTGTTTTTTCACTCTGTTAATCATATTAGAGTTCGATTATCTCGAGTTCACACTGCGTAGGCCCTTATTCAAGGGGAAGCATTTTCTACTAAAGATTATGTTATACCCATGTTTGAATTCGAAATCTCTGATTAAGGAAAGAGTAGCCCAGTTGGTGATGCTTGTGCTGATATCAATTTAATAACAACTAGTAAAATTATCCGCGCTTTGCGCGGGAATTTAATATCACAGAATTTATAAAATAATACTTAAAACCTATCCGTCATTAAAACTAAAACACTATATTATCCTACATACAAGATTACGTAGTAACAAACATTAATAATGTAAAGGAAAATGAAAATTATTACATTTTATCATTTATCCTTAATAATATAAGAATAAATTAATGATTATAAAAATACATACCAGGATCTGTAAAATAAACAATGGTGTAAGTGAGTCACTCAACAGGAGCAAAGTGCACAAATATTTAATTGTGAAGAAGAAGAGGAAGTTCAGAATTTTCGTTGTTTTAAAATGAAAGGAAATCCCTCTATTTATAGACAACAAAGGGTAGTATGAACAAATGTTTATTGTGCCTTATCAGAAAGGTTACAACTATTTGGAAAAATTGTAACCATTCGGAAAGGACACAACCTTTCATAAAAGTCACAACTTTTCATAAAAGTCGCAACTCTTCATTAAAGTCATAACTTTTCATAAAAGTCACAACTTTTCATAAAAGTCACAACTCTTCATAAAAGTCACAATTTTTTTTATACATGTCACAACTTTTCATATAAGGAAAAGGCTAGTTTTGAAAATAAATAAATTAAAAGGGAATTATGGTTTGTGGTGGCGCCACGTAGGCGGGACTAATGTTTTCTTTTATATATATATATATGATGTAATATTCTAGTTTTTTCTGACCATTTTTTCCTTCTTAAACTTTTAATGTCATCAAAATATTACGCTACGACTCAATAATGTTTGAATAAATATTTATACGTACGGAATGCTTATATCAAATTAATATATTAAATAAATATTTATTCATACGGAATGTTTATATCAAATTAATATATATTTTTTATAATTAAGTGATTAACAAAAAAAATATTATTAACCATAATTAAATGAAAAGTGTGAATATTTTAACGTTTATATTCATTGTTTTGATATTAACACTCAATATAAGTAAACTTTTACCGTAATATATGAAAGTTAATTTAATAGGAAAAGCAAAATTAGAAATAGGATTTGTGGCAAATTAAATTTTGATTTTGTAATAATCTATTATAAATGTTACTAGTTTGGTATATGATTAATTTTTTTCCTATAAAAGATCAACAAAAATAATAAATAAAAATATATATTTATAAAATCATTTGCTTCTATTCAAATTGCAAGATAGACATAGAAAATGCAGTTGACTTATTTATTTATTTTTCAAGTAATAACCAGTTTTACTTGTTATGATTTGTCACTTGTAGTTATTTTTAAAGTGAATTAATAGTATTAAAAACTCTTTTACAATATCCATAAAAGTTAAATACTGATTTATGATTTTAACAATATAACTTAATAATCAATAAAGTGAATGTAAATTTTGAAAATTTTCAAATTTCAATAAATTAAAAAGGAAAAAAACATTAATGACCTAGTGGATAATAAAGTGAATACATATCCTGAAGAGGTTTAGATTTCGGAAAAGAAGAGAATATTAACACTGTATTTGGATGGTTGTTACCCGTTATATCGTTTATTTATATCGTTAGATAACGACAAAAACAAATATTTTGTATAACAATCGATTTGGTGTGATCACGTCGTTACCTGAACGTTTTCTTCTCATTTTATCTTTACTTAGTATTTATTAATCATAATCCATAGTCGCTCTATCTCGTACCCAATTTTTCTTATAGTTTTATCATTTAAATTGTTGATGTGTGACATTATGTAGCGACAAAGAACGATACAATCTATCCAAACGCTATATTCCTTAAAACAATACACTATAATACAATACAATACAACACATTATGAAGCAATACGTAACGATCATCTAAACAGAGTGTAAGTGATTGTTTTCATTTTCTATTCAGTATTAGATACTCATATTAAAGTTTGAACACCAATTAATCTAGATTCTCATACATATGTATTGAACACCGATTAATCTAAATTTTCGTCATATATACCGAACAAAGCTTAACTTAGATTCTCGTTGTGTAAGTTAAAAATAAAATTCTATTAAATCCCTCTTCATCCTACAGGAACACAAGAGTCATATTTATTTCACTACAATCACGTGAAGCTTAATTCTTCTAAATCTCTATGAGAATAGAAAAATAGTATTTATCTCACCACAATTACGTAGAGCTTAACTCTACTAAACCTCTCTTCATATGATAGAAGAATCCTACTCATCCTTCTTATAAATACAAAAAAAATCGTATTTATCCCACCACAATTACGCAGAAGTTTTCACTAGGTAGAGAAAAACAAGAACAAAAAGGAGGTGTTGCTGCTAACGTGGGCTAGTACATGCCCCACACCTATTTAAGTCTAGAAAAATACAGTTCACTATTTATTTCTCCCCTGTTTTCCAGGGTTTCACTGATTCAAAGCTTTCTCCTCCTCCTTCTTTCTTTATAAACCAAAAAAAAAAAAAAAAAGTTTTCTCTTTTGCTTGTCTCTTCACCCATTTGATTTCTTCCCTTTTCTGTTGCTGCCCAAAAAAATTGTTTACAGACCCTTTTGTTGAACTCAAGTTCATGTCTAATCTGTATAATCACAACTTGAATTTCTCACCTGCAAGAGCTGTTTCTCCTCATATAAGAACCAACCAAGATGTTGATAGGTAAGGGATAAAAATCCTTTTTTTTCCTCTTGAATTTGTGGGGTTTGAAATTTGATAACTTTGTGCAAGATTGATGCTTTAACCAATTTTGTTGTTTTTGTTTTGGGTGTTTCTTGAAATTTTTTGTAGTCAGTACTTGACAGAGCTGTTAGCAGAAAGGCAGAAACTTGGACCCTTTACACAAGTTCTTCCAATCTGCAGCCGACTCTTGAATCAAGGTTGGATTAAATCTTGAATTTTTATTTGCTGCTGTTAGAATATCTATGAGTTGTTTGTGCATTTCTCTGATAAGCTTTTTGTATGCTCTGTTTTTTTAATCTATAAACTAATCTGTTAAGAAATTCTCTGCTGTTGTTTTGAGAAAGTTGTAGCTTTTAGTCCAAATTGATCAAATCTACTGGTTTGCTGTATGTTTTTAGCTCTAAGAGTAGGCAAAACAAGAGATTTTTAGTAGTAAAGAGTGAATTGAAATGAGATTTTGATAAGTTTCAGAACAATCGATGTGTATTGTTTAGATTTTGTTTATTTAAACAGTATCGTCGCAGGAATAGATTACCAGGATCAAGTATTGGCAGTTAGGTGATGTTAAGATTAGCATGTCGGTTGAGAAGTGTGTATTCCGTTCCACATAAACTTTAGTCCAATGGTGTTTTGAAAGAGGCAGATTACAATTGGTTTGTGACCTAATTATTCTTTGAAGAAATGTTCGTAGCAGATGAATACTTTAATAGCAAGTTGTAAGAGGTTATGTTAGTTTCCTTGTGTGGGCACATATGCCGGTGAAACGGTTTAAGTTGATGTATGCTATTCTTAATAGCTTTAATTATTCTCCGAATGGATATTCTGAATTTTAGTTTCAATTCTTTGACAGAAATACTTAGACTTTCCGGAATGATTCCCAATCAAGTACTCAGTGACTATGACAGACTACAACGTGGAAGCCCTAGTCCTGTGGGTTCAATTGACATGATGCAACATGTTGGAGGAAAAGGTTTAGGTGGCTGGAACGGGAATGGATGGAACGCCTTTCAAGAGGTCAGCTTATGCTTATCTCATCTTTAGGCACAATATTGGAATTCTCTGTTTACTAATTCTGTAATGCTCCCTATTAGATGTCTTATGTGTCTGCCAATAGGGGCTAGCTCATGGTTTCTATGCTTATTGAAACACAAGCATTGTGTATGGTAATTGTAGTGAGTTAACATGGAGTGGAGAATAACATTTACACAAAGATCGTCAGAGCCATTACTGTTATGGTGAATTCGTCTTCAGTATCACATTGACTAATAAGGCTGACTTTGTCTTTTCCTTATATACAAATGAGAAACTAATTCAGTTCTTGAAAGTACCTCCAAACGAAGAAGTAAAACTTAAATTCAGTCTAAATTATGTTGCAAGTCTAGACTTCGTAGGATAACAACTAGTCATCAAGTGCTTTAGAAACTTACTACTCATTGGAAGAATATAGGACAAACAACTTTAAAAAAAGATGATATTAGATAGTACCATTTTCAAAAAAAGAAGAAGATGATATTAGATAGTGCCAATTGCCAATGCCAGATAGTGCCAAAATTTTGGCACTTCCAATGCTGAAGCTCCGGGACTCTTGAAAGGAAAAGGACGAACTAAGAAATTGAAGCAAAATCATAATCATTAAATGGAGGAAGAAGATGAAACGCGGGAGAGAAACAGCTAGTTGTTCCTCTTTCTGCTTGAATTAGAAATTTAAACACATCATGCATTGTTTCCTTTCTTCTTTAACTATGCTAACTCTGCATACCATCAAGAAGCCTGTCTGTTTATTTCTATATCAGGGGGTTGGCGGCATTCTAGAAGTTATACAGCCAGCTTAATCCATCTCCAGTGAAACTGACATTTCAAATGCTCTCTTTCTAAGTTGAACTAAATAATTGTTTTTTCTATTAATCTTATTCTTCACTGAAGCTGAGGACTAGAAAAGTTCTTCGCTGCTCCAGAAAGATATGGGAGCTAACTGACACCCTCCCCATGGTCTTTCTTTCTCTCATGTGGCATTGCTTCTTGTACTTCTAATGCTTTTCTGGTTGGATTGATATCCCTGAAATTCATTTTGCAGCAAAGATTAGGTGGACCACAGGGAAGGCCCATCGACTGGCAAGCTTCACCAGGAAGTCCAAGTTCATTTGTTGTGAAGCGGGTGTTGCGTTTGGATATACCTGTGGACAGATATCCGAATGTAAGCTGACTTTGTTGACAGTAGATAATGTTTAATTTTCCATCTATTTCTTTATGGATTTACCTTTGAAGTGTTAGGTTGCATTATCTGGTGTAAATATAATGATGATGTACATGTCACATTAAACTCTGCGTAATATTGGTAGTATCAATTTCAACTCCCAGAGGTGCCACTTTGTACCAATAATTATGTGATTACTCCTCATAATTAATGACTCACTTAAGATGGAGGAAGGGAGTAGACTATAGAGGGATGTGTTTGAAGACATTTTGATATTTCGTCAAATTATTTGAGCAGTAGAAATCAGTTGTACTGAATAGTACATTTCTCATGGCACAGTTCAACTTTGTTGGACGGCTTTTAGGACCTCGAGGTAATTCTCTGAAGCGAGTGGAAGCATCTACTGGATGTCGCGTATTTATCAGAGGAAAGGGTTCAATAAAAGATGCTGAAAAAGTAAGTTCTTTTGACATTTTTCTGCTCACTGTCCTGCTTTTCGTCCAATAATCTTACAGAAGGCTTTTTTTTCTCTATGAAGCACTCCGTACATTTTTCTGCCCTCCATTTTATATCTGCACTGCACCGGGTGTTTTGCTTTTACTTGTGTTCATCTTATATTTCTTATGCTTTGTGTTTGTCTTATATTATTGTAGGAGGAGAGTCTGAGAGGCCTTCCAGGTTATGAGCACCTCAATGAGCCACTGCATGTTCTACTTGAGGCAGAATTACCCATCAATATAGTTGATGTACGAATGAAACAAGCTAGCCAAATTATTGAAGAGTTGCTCAGACCTGTGGTAAGCACATTTTGATTCCGACATATACAGCTATAAGCAATTGCAGACAAAGCACTCATAATGTTATAGTTGTGTGGTTCTTAATCATGAATTGAAATGGACAGACCGAAAGAGTTGACATATGCAAACAGCTGATATGATGCGTGATAAATATGGGCACTTCGTGAATAATCTGAGATTATGTCTTAACTATGCATCTATCAGGAGTTATTTTGTCCCCCAAAAAGGACAATGCTGAATGAAAAAAAGAAGAAGGAAGACATCTCTTATGATCTGTTTGTTAGTTTCATACTTCTTTTGAACTAAATCCCCATAGGAGAAAGGTCTAATGTAACAAATCCCTCAACGTCAAACTGATAATCTTAGTTTGACTTGACATGGTGATTTACCAAGAGAGTTGTGAATATGTAGTTGTTTGAAAGGTAGGTAAGAAAACCAGTGTTAGAAGATAACCATTTTATGGTTTTGTGATTTCCTAGGATCATATTGCTAATTTCATTTCCATTTGCCTGGAATTGCAGGATGAGTCGCAGGACTTATATAAAAGGCAACAGCTTAGAGAGCTTGCTTTGCTGAATAACAATTTCAGAGAAGAGAGCCCCCAACCAAGGGGTAGTCTATCTCCTTTTAGTTCAAGCGGGATGAAACGAGCAAAAACTGGTTGGTGATGAGTGCTATGGTATGCACAGCTGCTTCGCATCTCCAGACAGGAGGATGCTAATCTGCACCTAAATACAGCGCGCTTTTGTGGCCTTAACGTGGTGAAAATAGTAAGTGACAAAAGGAAACATAGCAGATTGAAGAAAACCTCAAAACTGATTTTGTTGACTGTAGTTGTTTGTTGTTGAAGTAGAATGATTATTTGATTTATTTGTTCTTGACAGCTAGTTGACAAGGGTGATTTCCTTTCCTTTTTGGGATTTGTAACTTATAATTTACTTCATCCTTCGTTAAATATAGATTGCTATATGTAAATCCCATGATATGGATTTAAGACCATGTTATCTCTATAACTGCTGGAGCTACCGTTCACTCCATGATTGCTCCCGGGGCTGTTCTTTTTCTTTTTTTTTTTGGTGATGGTGCGTTCGGTTTGCTTGCTAAATTTCACCAGGTACTTGCCACCTTCTACCAGCATGAGTGTCGGATAAACTCAACTCTTGAGTTGAACCGGAGTTGGGGTTTAGGACAAGGAACCACTTACAAAGGTAATCGGTTAAGTTGTTTGTCGTTAACTTGCGGTCACTCATCTCTTTATTGCTAGACGATACTTTTTCATCGATCATTCTTCCGTTGTCGGTAACCTTGCGTGTTAGACGACATTTTTCCTTTGATCATCTTGCCGTTACTTTAAAGTTCAATCAGAAGCTTAGAAAAAAAGATCGTACCTACTAATGCTAGTCTAATTGTTTGTTAAGAAAGGGGTCATTCTTTTTTAAACAGACTAAAAAAAAAGAAAATTAGGTCATTCTTTTTTAAAGAGAGGAAGTAATATATTTTTTTGATAAACCGTGAAGAATTATCATTAACAATCAAAAATTTACACAGCCACCTTCTTGGTTGAGTACTCTCTGCCCCAAAGCCTCAAACTACTACTATTTTTGCCTAACACTGAAACTTGAAGATGCATTAATTTGATCCAGATCATAAGGGAACCAAAACAACTGATAAATTATCAGTGCTGCCTTCTAAAAATGCTTTCTGAACAATTTGTTGAGCCAATACTGTTAAATCTGAATGGTCCTCTGCTTCATATAAGAACTCACAAACTTTTTTGGGACTTAAGCTTTCAAATATTCCATCAGATGCCACAACCAAAAACTCATCCTTTGATGTTAAATTTAGCCAATCAGTCACTTCTGGAGTAGCTATGATTCCAACTCTTTTCAAAGTAAGATCGCCAATAGCTCGAGTCATCGGAAAATGGCCATTGAGAAGAGGAACAGAATTAGTATAAAATGTGAATTTACCTCCAGAAGCTTCAACCCTAGCCCTCTCGTCCAATCTATCTGCATTATGATCTTCTGTCAACTCCTTTGCCAATTTTCCAGAGCAAATAAACGCCTTCGAATCCCCAACATTTGCAACTAAAACCTGTTTTTCGTTGTATATGAGAGCAACAACTGCAGTAGATCCAGAATAAAGTTGGTATTCCAGAGCGAGTTTGCTGAATTCTGCATCAATTTCTTCAATCGTTTTAACTAACGACGATTTCAGAGATTCCTTAGGGTTAGAATTTTGGTAGCCGTAGTTCTTCTGGAGAAACTTATTTAAAAAAACCCTGGACGCCATCTCACTAGCGTCCGATCCAATATGCCCGTCAAAAACTGCTACAACACCAATTTTGACCTCTTCAACGCCATCATTAAGTCCAAATCGAGGAATTTTAAGATCAACGTTGCATGTTACGCGATCCTCGTGGTATGATCTTCTTCCTTGGATCGATGCGAAGTGACAATTTTGAGCTGGAATTGACGACATTGTTGTATTTGTAACAACAATTTGTTCTTCAGGTTCAGGCTTATGGTTCATCAAAAATCCAACAATGCAAGCGAAGAAAAATCCATATATGATTAAACGCTTCATGATTCAAGCTTAAAAAGAGACGTAATGTTAGATTTGGTTAGGGTTTATGGTTAGAAGAAGGCTTAAGAGTATGTTAATATAAGTATTATACTTTACCCAACAAAAAAAAAGTACGTTAATATATATATGGCAGAATACGTAAAAACGCCCTAAATTTGACGTGTTTTTGTCATCTTTTTACCATCTTAACCAATAGCAGCTTATTACCTCTGTCCATGTTGGCCAATTCTTTTTCTATTTAAGGCGGAATAACTTGAAAGATCCTCGTACTTGTTTTAATTTATTATTTTTAATCTATGTATTTTACCGAGTTTTATGTAGACACCCAAATTTGTGCATAACCAATATTTTGGAGGATTATGTGAAGCACAAGGACCAAGAAGCCAAAACTAAAAGGTCAATCTAAAATTACAAAGTATGGTGTATATTTTTTTCACGCAGATGAAATTAAGAAATTAAGATTTCTTGGTCACTCATAAAGTGAATACAATAAAACAAAATGACCTTTTTTTAAGATTTCTTAGTATAAAAATAGAGATTTTTTAATTATGATTTGTAAGTGACCTACAAAATCATTTTTTTCATTTTTGAGTGAAAAACCCAATCTAAACTATCATATTTTTATGAATTTCCTATCCTAACTAATCTAATCTTTCCAATGCATATCTAAATTATCACATGTGTATTAAAACACACCTCAATGCTTAGCCACTAGTTCGTCTAATGCCAAGCGGGCCCTTCATGTGTCTAATTTTATCGGCCCAAATTGGGCTGGGCTACAGTTCTTGGGCCCAAACGAATTTTCTGGCAGAAGAAGCTTCCTCCTCCATCCACCAAATGACAATTATCATTCTTCTCAATCTCGAACCCTAGCTTGTTCATCGAAAATCGATCGGAAAAATCACCATTAAAATTCAGCTAAGATGGGGAAACAACCAGTTAAGCTGAGAGCAGTTGTTTACGCCTTATCGCCATTCCAACAGAAGATTATGCCAGGTCTATGGAAGGACCTTCCTGGTAAAATCCATCACAAAGTCTCTGAAAATTGGATCAGCGCTACTCTCTTGCTCGGTCCTCTCATCGGCACCTACTCGTAAGTACTTCGATCAAGTAAATTCAATCTCAATCCCAAACTTTGTTGAGATCGGCTATGTTAATTAATCATCTGAACTCGAACCTTTTAGTTTGGGATAATTTCATTCATATAATATTGTGCAAATTTCTAATCAAACTAAACATACTTCTGGCAAACAGAGAGATAATTTAGATAGATATTCATTTGGCTATATTAATTCTATTCAGGTTAGACCAGGATTCCAATTTAGTGCGTGTCTAGATGAGCACGTTCTAATAAATTTCTGTATCAAAGGATACATCACAATCAAGATTTAAGACCGTTAGGCTGTTTTCATTGACCTATGTCACGCCTCTGGATTTGAAGCTGCGTGTGCTTTGAGAAATGAGACGTATCAGATTGGCAGGTCCATTTGGTACTTGTATACATTAATAGTATGTTGAGCGCTTTTCGAGAAGATCTGGAGGTGCTTATTGATCTGATCTTCCTAGATGTTGCTTAGTTTCGACTAGGCCATGAAGAACTTAGTTTGAATTAAATTACACTTTCAAGATGTTTTGGGATATGCTTACAATAAAAGGATTGAAATTTATTCCTAGCTTAGAAGGGGAACTTAGTTGCTCAGGTTTTACTTGGAATATAACATATGATCAGTGGAGAGCCGTTAGAATACGCTTAAGATTTAAGAGCATGATTGCCAAACATTGATGTCAGGCATATCAGAGCGTCTGGAGGTACCTTCGCACATTGTGAATCTTCTTTCATTTGTTTAGATGAAATACAATTGCACAATGCCAATTGAACTTGTTGAAGACATTGGCTTCTATAAGTATGAAGCTGGGTCGGTGGGCTTTCAAGCCTACTTACTGATTGAAAAGGCAAGGTTAATAAGATTTTCCTTTGTTTTGTATTGTTCATCTTGTGTCGAGTTTTATTTGTTTCTTTTTTCTTTTGGGGGTTGGGGTTGGGAAGGAAGTGTTGCACATTAGTTCTTTTGAGTAGAAAAGGATTGGTTGCTTAAGCATGCTTGCTTAAACATCAATTTGATCTCAAGTTATATTTTTGTTAGAAAAAGTTACTATGGAGCAATATAATCCTTTTTGATATGTAGAATGTGTTGATATAAAATTATTTCACTCTAGTAACTAGCTGTAGTTTGATTATCTAGGAGATAATATTTGAGATAGTTTTAAGCACTAGTGAGATTATCATGTACCATCACATACTGTGTATATTAGTAACTTGTTCAAGAACATATTAGTACCTCTTTAACAGAATCTTAACTTAAGTGTTCTTGTTTTTTCTCATTATTCTTATATGGTCAAAATAAATCCAATTAACTTCTTTCTCCTCTAGTTTCTTTATTCTGTTCATTTTTGTCTCCAAGCAAGTAAAAGTGATTGCTGCAAAAGTCTTAGTTATTTTGAGTTGCAACTTATCTCAAGTATAAGATATTATTCTAGTTCATCATAGCATTTGAGCTGCATTCAGGCATAGAGGAGATTTACTTGTATAGACTAGATTGTTGAAGGTTATTGGCGAGATTATGGCCATTGTTTTTATCTTCTGTTGGCTTGAACTTTCTGAGTCGTTATCCCTCCACTCTTTTCCCCTTATAATAATAGATAGCCAAGATGTAAGGATTTTTTTTTTCACTTAATGTCACCTGGAATAATTCTTCACTAAGTTAGGTTCTAGCAATTCCTATGTTATTGGTTGAGAATTCCAGCAAATATATATGTGGTTTTAGTGGTTGCTTAGTTCATAGCCAAGGTGTTTCTTTATGCATGCAGGTACGTGCAGCATTTCCTGGAGAAGGAGAAGTTAGAACACAGATACTAAGTTATGTTCGTCATTTGTCTGGTGACCTACGTATAACTGAAGTTCTGTTCGTCACTTGTCTGGGGAGGACTGCTATTTCTATTTCTGTTTGAACAGGAAATAAGTCATGCTTTGGAACTGCTACCGTTATTTTGAGGAGTTTTACTTTTATGGTTAATTAAATGCAACTAGTTGTTTTATAGTCTTTTGAAACTTTTGTGCATCCTGAATCTTGTACCGAGTTGGAGTCTGCAAAATAGTTCATCATACACCTCATTTTTTCATCAAATGTTGTGTTCACACTCAAATAAAATATGGTGGATAGAGCATAACTAACTATTTGTTCAAGAATAGGATTCCCAAATTTGCAGTCCCTATGAAGTTCTACCTACATGTCGAATTTTGGATAATCTATCTGATCTTTGCCCATTTCTTAAGATGTATTCATGAATTTGAGCATATTAATTTGATCCAGCATGATCAGAAATTTAAGGAAACAGCAGATTTCTGTACCACTTCACCGCCACACAATGACTTTGGCCGAAACTTCCTTGAAAGGTAAGTATATTTAACTCACATTTTGGTGCTCAAATCTGATGCACTCTCCATATAAGCCAATCTTTGATCATCTCAGAAAACATATGAAGTTCTACAAATTGAGAAGTATAATAGGAGTCCCATTATGTCTATAGGCCTCTTTTTGCTACTATATTTTTAAAATTTAAGTTCATATAAAGCAGCCCTTCTCCAGTACTAATTGTGCTAAACCAGATCTTTGGGAATAAACGTCTTCAGTCTTCACAACAAACAGGCTGTTCCAATTTTAACGAGAATTAGTTAGTTGGGGTCACCAAAGAATGTTAATGCCACCCATCACTAGAGGTATCAATTCATCAAAACAAACAAGCTCTTAACCGTACAAGAAATTTCAAATACAGAACATAATAATTTCAAAAATGTTCAATTGGATACTACTGATAAAGTTCATGCAAAGACAGAATTTCAAGTAACAAAGTTTCATTCAACAGACTAAAAAACTAAATGTGCTATTTGTGAGAATATGCCACTTCAATTCCCTAAGCAGATGTAAGGAAGGCCCTTCCAGGTTGACGTGCAGCAAGTCGACCATGGTTGCCAAGAAGCTGCAAAAGCAAAAGAATACACAATAAATTATCACAACCGAAACGTGCAAATTGCTACTGGCAACCAGATACATGAATGAGCAAAGCAAAAATATTAGTTTAAAAAGAAAGGATATGAATAGACAAACCTTAGCATTCACACCATCTGGGAGAATACGGTTCTCTGACTTGTATTTCAGATAATCAGTACGGCTGAACTTGGTGAATCCCCTGAATCAAAGTACACATGATCAAACATAGCTTCAACGGGTAGGCTTAATGAGACGACAAAATATCAAGATATCATGAAACTTTAAGAGTCTCAGATGGAAAACAAGCCCACAGAGTACATATTTCCGTAGTGGAATAAGACAATGTTTGGCTTTGAAAGGAAGAAACTTGTGTAATTAACTGTAGGGTGTTCTTTTAGAATGAATCTCCCCAAACTAAATAACTAATTAGATGAAATAAAGCCCTTTTTACACACCAGGATAATCCTTTAAGGGAAAAAGTACAAAGTTCTCAAACAAATCAGTAGCATAAAATATAAAGTGAAACTTCTGATAGAATACATACCACTTTCTGCTGACAATGATCTTTTGACGTCCAGGAAACTTGAACTTGGCACGGCGCAGAGCCTCTTGGGCATGGTTACTGTTTCCATCTTTGCAGCGAACAGATAGAAGAACCTGACCAATTGCAACACGAGCACAAACACCCTGAGGCTTACCAAAAGCTCCCCTCATACCAGTTTGGAGTCTATCAGCTCCAGCACACGACAACATCTTGTTAATTCGCAAAACATGGAATGGATGAACCCTGACCCTTAGGTGAAAAGCATCCTTCCCAGCAGACTTGGTCATGTACTTGTTGCAAGCAATACGGGCAGCTTCAAGTGCCTCACTTGAGACATTCTCCTTCTCCCAACTGACCAAATGCACACAGAAAGGGAACTCATCAACTCCCTTTCTCTTCATGCCCACATCATAAATCCTGATCTTTGGATCAGGCACACCACGGCAAAACCTTGATTTTGGGTAAGGCTTGTTCTTAATCTGACGATAACATCTTGCAGGTCCTGTGAAAAAGAATCCAAACCATTACACCTAGGCCCAAATATGGAAATGTGCTAGGAAAGACAAGCACAAAGACTCATAGCGCACTACAAAAAAAACATTACAATACAACATATGCTGAAACTAGCTATGTCATGACTGGAACTTAAGCAGGATACCACTAGTGGTGCCAGAACTCCAAATATGCTTTTACATGCACGTATTAACAATTAATAACAAAATAATGATCAAGGCTAGTCAGACAACTATCCTAGATAAATCATATGCAACTTATGAAGTCATTATTCATCACGTAGTTCATATGTAATTCTACTAAGTATTTCCATTCTCACACACATAAAGTAAGGATGTTTCTTTGATACAAAAATGAGAAACTATTCCTTCCATTTTCCAAGCAAGTAATATTCTTACAAAGACAGCGTTCATCCTTCCATGGTTCATCAGTCTTTGTCAAGGTAACGAAAAAACTAGCTTCACAAGTAAATGTGCCAAAAAGACTACAGAAAATGCCACATACTTCAATCTTGAAGCTACTCATTTTACCATGATAGGTCTCATTTATAATGTATTAGTTCAAAGCCATTAGCTTTACATAGAACGGCAAATTCCAAACCTTCAAGCTAGAAAAATCTAACAGAATCAATTCAATCATACAAATTCCAAACAAACTAGTTTTACAATCAAATATACAAACAAACATATAATAAAACTAGTCTATATCAAATAAACACCACATTCGATAACAAATATACAGGACTTCGCGCAACAAACTCTTTTTTTTTTAAAAAAAACAATATTTCACATTAATGCAATTAAAAAAAATAGGTAACACAGTTTCAAAAATGATTCATATATATCAAACATGGTACAAAAATCCAATCATATAAATACCAGAAATGCTAAACTCAATCAATCTGTCAATGGAGATATGCTTAAAATCCCATTTTTTTCAGATCTGAGCAACAATACATTATAATACGAATGGAAATTTGATAAATAAGGATTTAAGCGAAGCGACTTACTTCTCCCCATGGCTAATCGATTGGGGCGTCACTGCAATTGATCTGCGGCTTAAAAATTGTCTGTAAAGGAGAAAGGAAGAGAAATGCCCTAAACCTTAAATAGGAGTCGTATTAGGCTTAGAAACTGTTTGGGCTTACGTTTGGGCTTACGTCACAAAAATAGATGGGCTTGGGCCGACATAGTCAAACAAACTAAGCCCGTGTTTTGGCATAAGTAAGTTGACCCGTCATTGTCTTGTATAATTAATCAATTCGGAGGTACGTTATTTATATATTAAATTTTGTAATTTATTTATTAATACTTTTTACTAAAAGGCATATGTACAAAAAAAAATTAAAACACATAAATTATAAAAAAATTAAAATATTTTGGTTGGAAAAGCAAACATGACGTTCAAATTCTGTTGTGGTAACCTCTTATATATAGTAGAAAAATATAATTAATATACGAATGAAGAAGAAAAGGGGGGAGGGAGTATGTAGTGTGGTTTATAAAGTAGTAGTGCTCTAGGCATGTTCGAATCGATGAATAAATTCATGTTGATAGTCTACTTTTAAAGTTACATTAGCTACAAAAGACAAATTCATAATGATTTGTTAATAATGATAATATTAGTTAGGGGTGTGCATCGGTCGGTTCAGTTTGGTTTTATGTATTATTGGTTCGATTTATCGGTTTTCAGTTTTTAAATACGTTAAACCAATAATCAAACTAATAAGAGATTTTTTATCGATTTTGATCCTTAACGGTTCGGTTTTCGGTTTAACCAATAATAAAATACTTATAAAATAAATATATGACTTCTCTAATAAATTTGACGCGACAACACAATAATGTAATGAAAAAACTAAATAAGTGTAACACAAAGAGAAATTAAGAGGAATAGGGTTCTTACTTTAGGTTTTGACGTTTTGTATAATGTGAAGTTGTGAGCTAAAAGTCACTTTGAAGTGTGAATTGAAGGCTAAAGGATAAAGACAATAACTAGTAAGGTATTGAGATTAATATATAATATATAATATTTAGGGATAAGGGTCTAAAAAATATCTCAACTTTGGTTGGATTTGCTGTTGCGTTACTAAACTTTCATAAGGACCTATTACCTCCCTAGACTATTTAATACCGTATTTTTTACCCCTAAACTATTTAATAGTGTATTTTAAAGGTATATATGTGCCCACGTGGACACATTACTATTTATAATTTTGCATTATTTTTTATGTCCACGTGGGCAAATATATATGTTTAAAATATGGTATTAAATAGTCTAGGGAGGTAATAGTTCCTCATGAAAGTTTAGTATCGCAACAGCAAATCCGACCAAAGTTGAGATATTTTTCAGACCCTTATCCCTAATATTTATGTACAAGTAAATGTAGGAAATTTTAGTCTTAATGGGTTATCGGTTTACCCAATAACCCAATATTAAAAATCAATATCGAATCGATAACCTGATAATTTTTTTATAAAATCATTAAAAAATTGTTAATCCAATAACCCAATAACACTTTTTTTGGTTCGATTTATCGGTCAATTTGGTTTTTGCACACTCCTAGTATTAGTAGCTGGGAAGTATATTATAGGTTGTTTTGAAATATAATAAAAATTCGAGGGGCAGTTAATTTTTATTGTTAATTATTTAAAATTATAAGGTCTGTTTGCCAAATTTGTATGACATTTTTTTTTGAATGACTTTTTAAAAAAAAAAAAAGAGTTTCAAAAGAAGTACTACTACTATTTTGGATGAACAGAATTACACCAATCTTACTTAAAAGTGTTTTAAGTCATAATTATGAAAAGAGATGTACAATTGTTTGATATATGATGTTATTATGAATTTTCCAACTATTTCTTAAATCAATTAATGACAAACCTATTTCTACATGACTATATCTATATATACAATATAAAGTTTAGATAAAAGAAAATTGATGTGGCATCCAAGAATCCTATTTTTTTAATTTTTTTTGATAATTTCTTATTTTATTATTACTGTACAAATTGAATGTGCTAATTACTAGTCCATTTATTCATATCTTTTTACATAAAAATTTAATAGTCTTTACTTT